TTACACTCTGGACCCCAGAGGGTTAGAGGCTAAAAGCAAAGGTGTCACCAAGTACTGTTTATATTTGTGTGTACAGCTGCAGCTTCTTTGAGTATTGACTTGGTGCCTTTGGGTGAAATAATGGTAATATGACTGATCCATATGGTCACAGAGAATAGTCACTTGTTTCTGTGCTACCAAAGTTTCATTCAAACTGTGTTTCTGGTCAGCACCGACACATCAAACTACTTACACATTATAAATGTCTTCAAGCTCACACTGAGGCCTGTGGGGCACAATCAGCCGCTCAGACAGTACACACATTTATGTGTGTTTGTACATGAATATTTCATACTTTAAGGCTGCCTATTTATTTAAGACAGATGAACAAAATACATTGGACTTGTACATAATAATATCACAGATGATAAATAAATAGATTTTAAATAGATGCTTGTGCATTCTTCAAGTCTTCTATGTTGAATTGAACTACAGTATGTGATGTGTTCAAAGCCTCCCAGTCAGTGCTGTTCTCCAGGCCTGTCTGACATGATGTTATTAGCACTTTAAAGGTGATCATGTAGGACTTCAGCAATAATGTAGTGTCGTTAAACATCTCACAGTTAGTTTTATTGGGAATTAACTTAAACACAAACAAACATCTGTCTCCTATTTTTGTGTCGTACAGGAAAGAAGCATCAGTATCTGATGAGAAGACTTTGTTTTTCAACAGGACAAGTTGATTTGTTCACATTTTCACATCTTAATTTTTGAGTGAAATGTGCATTTTGAGTTTATGCACTGTATGCATAGAATGCGACCGTTTCCTTTTGCAGTATTTTTGTGTGGTCTTAATAAAAGGGGAACAAAGGTGTTGAAGTTCACCTAGGATGATTTGTTTTAAGGGACCTTGAAAGTGTTTAAAAAGTGCTTGAATTTGACCCTGAAAAAGGCGTATGAACCCTGATAGAAATACATGTACAAAATGTGCAAGGATGCGTACATAAACACACAGAAATGTACATAACTACACTACAATGCACACAGAAATACACTCAAAGTATATACAAGATAAAGCAGCAACAGAAACAGTGATACAGTGATGGTAATAGGAAAGTACAGTTTCATCAGCACATAATAAGAAGCCTCAGCTCATTAGCAGGTCTTATAATGAACAGAATACAACCTAACTTTCTGCTTCCAGAGGAACCAAGAGTGCGAAAGCAGCTCGGTGCTGCTAGTGAACGCACCGTATCAGGTGATGAGCAGGTGTGAGCGCCTCTATACAAGCGGGTCGGGCAGTTTGCATGACTGTGACTTTCAGGTGTGTGTTAACTCGCTGCCAAGGATGAAAGCTGTCAGCAGTAGAGAAACAATAGTTAACCCTTCCCAGACTAACAGGGAGTATCTGAGGATTATCTCAGACAACAGAGGACTCCATTAAGCATGCTGAAAAGTTCATGTGCAAGTGGAAAAAGACTAAATGTTCAGGGTAGGCAAGCGTGTTCTCTTTGAGAAAACATGGTGACATGGCTTAGGTTTGCAAACTTCATTTGAACAATGTGCTCTGGACAGGTGAGACCAAAGTGGAGATGTGTGTCTGTAATCCACAGCAGTACAATTAGTTAAACACAAACACAGCACACTGGCACGAACACGTGATGATTTGGGTTCGTCGTGCAGCCAGAGCAGGTAACGGGCTCTGTTCTAGAGTCGGATGTGAGCTCCCTGGTCTGACAGTCCAGCTTGTTCTCAATCTACTGAGAATTCATGAAAAGAATCCATGTGCCAGTCAAAGGTGACTGAAAACTCAGGTGGGACCTTAAGACACTTCAACTACATGGAGACCTGCCAAAGACCGTGTGTGTTTCATTATGTCCTGATGTAGACAACCTTGGTTTTGGCTTCCCTTCTGTACGCTCTGTCAGATGCACACAGCTATGATGACTTTCTGTTTTCAGGGCATGGAAGTTCATCGTGCAGAATTTCCGGAAGAAGGGATCTCTGCTGGTCACTGTTCCCAGCCTGCACGAGAGTCTGAATCCCCTGCAGGTGACGCTCGGTGGATGTTAGCAGTTCTTACATGTGGACAGTAAAAAGTGTTTCTCATGTTGTGACAGATGAAGTTTGTTCCTCTCATGGATAAAGTGACTGCTAACATCATGAGCCAAGCCGTTCTTGGTCTGTTCCTCAATGTGTTTGTGTCTGTGTCAAACAGGAGGTGTTGCAGCCTGACTGGGTGGAGGAGCTTCCTATCAACTACGACGTCTACCTGGGCAGAGACACAGACCCCGACGCTCTCAGACAGATCCACCTGTACAGGGTCATCTGATCTGGACTGGACCCGTTTGTCCCTGATCTCAGTTGAAATCGTCTTGGCTAATTGATACTCTGAACTGGTCAGAAGTGAGCTCGTTAAATCCAAACCCAGTTAATGAAACCCATGATCTGGTTTAAACTGGTTAGGAGGGGTTGAAATTATCTGGGTTGGTTAGAGCTGGACTCTTCCTTCCCTGGTCTGCATATCAAAGAAACTCAGGCTTTGTCTCGTTAATTGAGTTGCACTTGCAAAATACTATGTTAATATTAATGTTAATATTATATGTCAGTTAATTCAGCGTTGACTAAACGTGTCCTTTACTATAAAGGCAACACGTAACCAATCACAAACATGGACAGATGAGCGTGGCAACATGATGAAAGTGTCAAAATGAGGCTTTCCCTAGTAAATCCTCATATTGAGTCACAATGAGACTACCTGACTATCCCAGCAGAAAACTCAATAAATACAACTTTCCACACACCAAGGCCGACACGATGCTTCAGAAAAACTGTCTGACTGGTCGTAAGGTGGGGCATCATGTAATGTTAGTGTATCCTGCTCAGGTCAGAGATACAGAATAATCAGTGTGAACATACCACGAGTAACATGATCACAAAGGTGCACCGTGCTGCCACTCTGGTCATGTGTAATGTTTTCTTGGATGTGCCTGTTCACACCAATCTTTAAATGAGAAGGTTTGTCATTTTTAAATGTGGCATTCAAAGGAGGAGGCCAAACATCCCTGCAGAGGTTGGAGTCTTTCAGAAACAACAATGTATGGAAAGTGTGACCATCAGAAAACTGATGGTGCAAGTGGTGGGTTGAAGTCAGAATGTAGAAATGCACTGCAAGGAGTCAAACTCCAGTGTCCTGACACTTCTCCATGTGTCCCTGCTGCAACGCACGTTCCTCTGGCATTTCTTTATATACAAATGATATCGAATTTAAAAAACCTTCAGATATTAAATAAAGCAGGTGTGGCGCATGCCCCTATTTTAAGTCTCTAGATTGGGGGTGATGTGCGATACCACTGACTTCCTTTCCGATCCGATACCAGATAAAATTCAGGGTCGACGATACTGATCCGATACTTTTTACAGAAACTTATTTTATTTATTGTATCTCAAATTATAGCGTCATAATGATTACAGGACATCAGATTACTTGATCTTATCACTTAATAATGCAGGGTTCATCATATAGAAATAAAATAAGTTGTGCACTGTTTGAACACGTTGCCTGCAGCACTAAAGGACTCTGTGAGAGACGTCTGTCTCGCCCTGGCAGCACCTGTCCCTCTCCTCCTCTTCAGTTCGCCTCAACATACGCTCGTCATATTCTGTGATATGATTTACTCTGAGGTGTTTGACCAGGTTAGTGGTGTTGCCACAACACCTCACTGTCTTGCCACATGTATCGCAAACCACGTGTTGGCTGTTTGTGGAGGTAAAATGCATCCACACATGACTCTGTTTACACTCAGCCATTGTTGTGAGTGCGCACGCCAGAGGCTGCCACACAGTTATACAGCCGTGTTTCACACATGACTATGAAAGGTGGAAGAGGAAGTAGACAATCCGAATGTTATAGTTTCTTTCCACTGTGTTCCTGTTAATGATAAACTACAAATTTACCCTAAATTACTAAAATATCGATATTTTAATGTGAGAATCTATTCTAGAACATAAATGGCTGGTATCAGAGGAATCGATATTTCAGGATCGATCCGCACATCACTACTGATGGCACGGCCATAGCTGGACTGGCCATCCCGGTGGGTCGATGGTGATTTTTCGTTTTTATGGGCCGAGAAATTTTTTTTCTTTCTCTTTTTTTTTTCTGTCCCATTTGGCTGTTTTGCATCAGAATTATTGTCTAAAGGTGAAGAAAGATGCCCAACAGATTTACTTTACCAAATGGACCATCCCAGCCTTTCCGTAATGGTCTATTTGATTCACCTTTTATTGTTTATTTTATTTTATTTTCACTTGCTAGATACGGGACAGACTTGAATGAGGAAAAGAAAAGGGAGAAAGAAAGAGGGAAAGAAAAACAGCAGAGAAGAGGGACGGGGATAAAGAGCAAAAAACAACAAAATAAGCAGACAAAAATACATCTATCAATCACCTGGATCACCTGTTGAGAAAGAAAAAAGAAAACAAGCATTTAACAAGGGCTCACTCAGCAGCCGCGGAGCAGAAGCCAGGGGGAGTTGCAGTGACGCGCCCGTGAGCTCCGCCGGCAGCCAGCTGTGCCTGAGTGACCGAGCCCCAGGCCGAGAGGCCGGGGAAGTGGTGGTGGGGGGAGATAGGCCTCCAAACCTTGGAGGGCCTGAGATGTCCCCAGAGAGGTGGCGTCTGATACCCAACCTGACATATAGACACAGACATACAGGCACACACAGATACAAACATCCATTCCCACCCTCATGCTCTCATATGCACTTACTCAACACTCAACCAACGTTTTCTTTTTTTTGTAACGGTATAAACAGTCAAAGGTGGTGGATTGGCCAGATGCTGGCAGATGTGTAAAAATAACTCTGTTGTTTGGTGGAGGCTATGCCGGAGCTTCCACAGAGGCCAGCGGGTGGATGAGGGAAGGGGAGGCAGAAGGAGGAGAGACCCGAGGCGGCCGCCGTTGTTCTGGGAATCCATCCTACCTGGAAAAACATCCTACAAAATGTTTCTGCGCAGACGCGGCGCATGCACACAAAACCAACGCTGAATTAACTTCTTTTTCTCTTACCCATCCGGAATACTTCTTAAGGTTATGGTTAGGGGAAGGGTTAGGTTTAGTCGCAACTCACCCTCAAATTATATGTAACCCAGGTCCCACGTAGCTATGGTAAAGCTAGAGTATATAGTACAATGAGACTGGGCCTGGGTTCGTAGTGCTACTAATAATGATACCTGATACCCTCTAATTTAACTAATAAGGACCACCACAACTGTATTTTACACAAATTTATCCCTCACTGGGTATTTATTTAGACAAAAAAGAAATGAATAAACAGTTACTTTTATAAAATGAATTGGATTAAAATAAACAAACAAAAATGCTGTAAATGTGACTACATGAATTATAAATAAAAGATTATCCACACAAAATACCTCTTTCTTAGGTGCCAACTGTTATTTCAGTTACGACAGCTCACACCTTTAAAATGGATGTGCGGTGAGGCCTAAAACTGATGGCCGCTTCACTCAAACTGAGCCATAAACAAAATACGTGCACTTTAGTTCCAGTTAGTACTCACGAGTCCAATGAGTTTGTTAGTGGGGCAATCAGAAACGGGCAGTTAGTTCACCAGTAGTGAAGACAGTCAGGGGTAAGAAAACAGTCAGGGGCGAGAAAACAGTCAGGGGTGAGAAAACAGCAGGGTCCATCCGGGCAGAAACCTCTCTCTCCCTCTCCTTTCAGAGCGTCCCTCGGCTTCTAAACATATTAAAACACTTGAGCTACAATACCAAA